ATCATTATTACTATTATTATTGTTATTATTATTATCATTATTACTGTAGTTGTTGTTGTTGTTGTTGTTGTTGCTGCTGCTGTTTGTTTGTTTTATTTTGCTTTTCTTTAAACTGTTTTTATTGTTGTTGTTGTTGTTGTTGTTGCTGTTGTTGTTGTTGTTGCTGTTGTCGTTGTTGCTGTTGTCGTTGTTGTTGTTGTTGTTGTTGTTGTTGTTGTTGTTGTTGCTGTTGCTGTTGTCGTTGTTGTTGTTCAAAGGGAGGAGGGGGGAGGTATTCAAGTGTTACTGATATTTGATAAATTCTGCATTGCACATGGCCTTTCCTTTCGGAATTATGTTTCTTATCTTTCTTTTCTGTCTTTTCTTTAATTTTATTTCTGTCCTTTCTTCTCACCTTACTCATCTTTTAATAGAACTCAGTTCAGGCAACTACACTCCCCACCCCACTCCGCCGCTTTTCCCTCTTTTTTCACCGTGGCCCATTCCTGAAGAGTAACATCTAAAATTAGTACGCGAATGTGAATCTGAAATTCTATAATAATACAGTCTTCTTAAATCCAACTGCCTTAACTTTTATACTGGATAGAGAATAAATACGGCTTGGTGGTTCTGAACTTTTAATAAGGAGATATCTAACAACCCCCGCGCGTTCTAACTTTCCCCTCAATATACCAATCTAATAATAACCGGTAAAAAGCACGTAGAGAAATAGGCTAGGAGGCCAAATCCCCGAGAGTGATATTATCATCAACATACAAAATAAATGTAGTTATTCTAATATTCTAATGATTATGAGGCAACAGAAAAGATGTAATATTATCTCGGGAGACGGCTGGAAAGTTCTTGGAAGGAAAATAAATCAAATGAGGTACGACATAATATAGAAGCTCACGTGGGCTGATCGCTGATAAATAAGCGATGAAAAAAAGACAAATTGTGATTTCTGGGACCCTTGAATAGAAATAAAGGCGTTGATTATTCAGCTTTCACTGGGGGAAAAAATTTAATGATCGCAACTGAGGTAGGGATAGACCCAAAGCAATCTATTTGGAAATCTTAAACTTATAATATATAGGTGACGAGGAAAGATTTTAAAAAAAGGTAGTTTGGGGGGGGGGGGGTTTAAGCTAAACGAAGGAATGAATTGAGAACCATAATAACCCATGTCTGCCTCAAATCTGGCCCTTGATGATGATGACTGTATTTTCATCACTCTAACACAGTTTCAGAAAAGGAATAAGTCGCTGTGCTCCCTTCATGCTTATCGCAAACAACATTGTTACTTCTGAAAAAAAATGCAAACCGATTTACTCGAAAATACAAAAGAATCTCACACAAATACACATAGATATGAACACACACACACACACACACACACA